GTATTGTTATTGTATTGTCATTCCCTGTGAGAAAAAAAAGATAACTCTTCAGTTAGTAACCATAACAGCGAAACGGCTTATTGTAACACAATTCACTGTGTATACGAAACCTGTACTAAGTCCCTAAAGGCTAAAAATAATTATATTTACAACTTTTAAACAGATACAGCTTATACAGCTTGGGCATACAATTTTTTTCTGCATTAAGATAATATTAATTTAGCTCCGCAGAATATGGTAAATTAGTGCCATGCTGAAGTTCGCTTTCGGAGCGTCTCCTCCAGGCATTCCACAGCTCTCGTGCCATTTTGGATCACGGAACATGGCTGGGCGCAGGACAGGTCGTCTGCGAGCTTGGAAGGACCACGTGACCACCTCCTCCACTCCCCCTCACTCCCGTCCCCTTCCCCAGCAGGGCGTCCGATCTAACCGCGCCCCAGGCAGTCGGCTCGGTCCGACCCTCCCCATGGTCGAGCCACGGCCCGGTGCCGCCTGGGTTTGTGCCGGGTGCAAAACTGGAGCAGTAACTAGCGCCGGAACTAGTAGTCAGCACGACCATCGTCAGATGGCAGGAGTAAATGGAATAAGCGGTTCCAGGTTTCAGAAGGAATGGGGCAGGAAAAAGCGCTGAAAACAATGTTTTGCTGATATAGTCATAAAAAAGTTCACTGGATTAGGAGAGCAGCACATCAGTTTAAAGCCCTTCAGATGGTGGTTTTAATAAGCACACAATCATTTCCCAATTCGCCTCCAACGGTGTCACAGGCAAAGAATACGCTGAAATACTAGTGTGTACAGAAGCAACTGCGGGTCCCTGTACCTACAATGAGCCTAAAAACGCCCTTGCTAACATAAAGGCAAATGTCCATAAGAAGGGCACCAGCGGAGTGCTTTGGAGTATAGTACAACTACCTATCGATTGCCTGTTAGCATTTCTATGCTACGAGTGGGTACTGTGCCACTATGGCAGCATGCACCATGCAGGTCAGTGGGACAGGGCACCATATCTACAGTACACTCTACCGTAACGTAGGTACTCGGATTTACCAGCCGGTGTTTGAATCTCGCGATGAATCTTTTTCGTAAAAAAGTATATGATAAAACTAGCAGAAAACTAAAGGAATATTTTGAACGACTGACGGCATACTCGTAGACTTAGCCATTAGTAAAGTAATCTTGGACTTACCGATAGGCAAAAGGACACGCAGGCGGCGTGACTAAAACTGTGCCACAAGTAAAGTTTAAAAGAAATGAACATTATCTATTTTACATATTGAGTTAAACGATGAAAAGGAAAACATGCAATGTTACGGCAAATGAGGCATACTTTATCAAGTAATGCGTATTTAAATAGTAAATAGCAGACATGTGTTTAAATAATAATAAATATAGGCAATAGGCATAGACTACTAACAAATAAGCAGGTAGTCTGTACCTACCGTTTGTACTATAGGTAGAAGATAATCTCACAATTTCCTTACGGAATCCTAAGGCATCCAAATCCAATTATTCAGAGTTATTTATTTTACACTTTAAAGAGTTATAAGGTGATAAGGAAAAACTGCAATGTTACAGCAAATGATGCATTGTTCTATCAAAGAAACAGGTGCTACAATTTGGAATTGCTTTGTTTCAGCGATCAACTGTGATAACAGATTCGCCGTTGTGTGGCACAGGTGGGCATAAAATTATCTAGGATACATACATATATGCTAGTAATACTGTGCATTTGTGCTAGCTGTGCGCTGTGCTAATCATTGTGCTCGAAACAGGAGTTCGTAATGTCAAAAACAACAAAAAGGACTTACGTTTTTCGACCATAATTCAAAATTAGAAGTTAGAACGCTGGAGCGCAAATAATGGTACAATTTGAAACTTACAACTTTGGCATAGCGAAGCACATTACCAAACGAATTTATGAGTGACCAAACTTTTGCTGTTTCTGTTGAAATTCAAGATATAGGCCTCCAGAGTTAGAGGCTTTTTTGGACGCACCCGGCATATTTTTACCTAGGTATATTTCACTACGTTTTCGTCCCTCTCTCACTAGCTTTGATTATATTTATATCAAAGTAGGTGAGTAGGCTTAGAAAACAACTTGTGGATGAAACCAACGGGCTTTTAATACAAATAAGGAGGGCTTGACAATATTTTATGATGATGGTCCCGGAGCATTGTACACACATCAAAGGACGTGTGTCCAATCTGATTCAGCCATTATTTCGATATTACTCCAACTTCAACAAAAAGCGTGTGCAGATTGTGCGACACATTGGCAAACAGTGAGGACGCTGTGGACGGCTGTTACCGTTGGCGTGGTTTGCGGACTATGTGCGTGGCGCCTCCCAGTGACCAGTGTAGGTACGAGCTGTATGTACGGACGGTCTGCGGTACCGTTCTGGTCAGTGTGCGGTACCTGTGCGACGGGACGTGCCGCTGTGCACGGACCTCTTACCGTTCTGGGCCACCGCCGCCCGGGCCGGCCAGCCGGACTGAAACACTGGCCAGTCAGTCACTGCTCGTCACTGGGGCTGACTGCCACTCGACTCACCTGCTGCTGCTCGCGCTCCTCCCTCCCCCCTCCCTCTGTGCCCCGAACAAACACAGCGGCGCATGCGACACTGACACACCAATGCAGGGGTGGGGGACGGCTCAAATGCAGGATGCCGGCGTTACTCAGGAAGAGGTGTACTGGTTAGAAAAGAATGCCGTTGTCGAAAGTTGTTTTGACGTGAATCAGTCTTTAGCGAGCTTTACTGACCAGCAAAAGGTGTAGTAATTTTGAAGCAGCTGTATTTTAGGCTACAAACCAAATGTTAAATTTGCAGCCATGTTGGCACATATGCTATCTAAGCTTGCAACCAAGTAACACTCGCACATTATAATTCAGCTTGAGAATCCTTTCAATCAAAAATTAGACGGCAATCGAATTTTAGATCATCAAACGAAGACAGGTTTGTCGGGATACAATCACTAGCAATCATTCCTCGCTATGTTGTCAATAAACCTTTGGTCGGGATGGTTAACCCTATTAGTGGCAGGGGGGGGGTTGTTTTCATCCACCCCTCAGGTTTTTCGGGAATATCTCCGAAACCGCTGAAGCTACGATGCTGAAATTTTTCCGACTTTTCCTAAAACTAAATTGGGCACATTCCCTGAAAATTTCAAGTTCATAACTTTACCAGGGGCGGCTCCAGAGCACTGGGAATTCGGGGGTCCTATTCGTGAAGCCAGTCATTTGGGCGAAGATCACGATGCTGATGTATTATAACTGTATGCACCAGTTTTACGAACAGTGAATGAAAGGTATCATGTGATAACATATACAAAGTTATTGTGCATCCTCTTTTGACACGTTTTTGCTATAATAGGCGGATCCAGGCGTCCAAAAAGGGGGGGTTATGTTTTACCTCCCAACATAGGTGCCCTGACACCGCCTATGCATGACCAATACAATTGTAGTCCTTCTCTCATAAGAAAATTGTAACATAACAAGACCATTACCACCCTTTTTAGAAACAGTACCAACAAAAACCTTATTTACTATACTTTTTGCGTACCCCCAATCTCAATGATCTGTATCCGCCTATGATTTTTGAAAATGCATATTTTTAGGATCCATGTGAATTCCTGGTTCATTCTCTATCGATCGGCAAAGGTTGCGTTAAGATTGGTTCAGAAACCTGGCTGTGATAAACAGTCTAAAATGTATCTGCAATTTGCCCGTTTTTACCCCCCTCTACCCCCCTATTGACATTCTTTAATTTTTATTTTTTAGAAATGTAGATCACGTTGAGCGAAATCAAATGCCATTTGAATTTTGAAAATCGGCCCGTTAGATCTCGAGATATCAAGGGGGGTCGAAAACAGCCCCCCCCCCTGCCACTAATAGGGGTAGCCAGGAGTCTGCCACTAATAGGGTTAAATGGGCGGCCACGGACCCAGGTGCGCGCCACGAAAGTACGGACTCACTGCACCGACAGCCGCCTCGCGCGCGCCCTGGTCGCCGGTGTCAATTCAGACCAGTAATTGCAACTCAAAAGGGGCGGCGCCACAGCCCTCCCGACTTCAGTATAATTATCTGTCGCCAGGGGTTGTAGTGGGCTTGACAGAGCGATTGGGGTCGGGCAGTCTGCTTCATCTCAGTTCAAGCTTGCCGTCAGCAAGGTAGAAAATGCGTATCTTTTCTACCCAATGTGACTGCATAAATACCTACTGGAAAGTGCGCCGTGACTTTGCAGCAAAAGGTACCCTGAACACTTAAAGGATACAACTAAGACAACGCGGCACCCTACACTTGCTGAATGACGAACAGCTGACCGCAACGCTTGAATTGCAGATGCACGTCCCAGTGGCCAGCTAGGAAACTTATAAAAAATTATCTAGCATAAAACATACAAGATCTTTCACGATTTGTTATGAAAAATAAATATATTTTCGATGGAACGTTTGCAGTTCTGTTCAAAGCTGACTCACATTTTTCCACAGCTGCATAAAACTGAGCTCCAAAACACTAAGAACGTTTTATTTTCAGTATGCTTTTCAAATAATTACAACGTGAAAAAATAACAATGCAGGGAAAACCAGGCCATTTAGCAATTTTAAATTAGATGTAGAAGTTAAAGTATTTAGTTATGGATCATGATCAAGCAGGCTCGTCGTTTTAGAAAGCAGCTAGGACTCTACTGAGGAATGTATGTAGGAGTTAGTCAAGCCAGGGGTTCGGCGAGCCGATCGGACATCGCACTCATCCTGTGGGACCTCAGAAACAGTGACACCAGACTGTTTTATGCAGCTTTTTCGTAAATGTCACCAACAAACAGCGCTGCTGGGTGCTCAGTTGTGACCAGAGCGGCGCGTGTGACCGACTGAGATGGTCGTGGCATTGTTTTGGTTCTGGCGGCGAGTCCCACAGGTGAGGATCGGTCTGACGGCCGCAGCCCGGGCGGCCACTACGGACAGGTGCGGGTGCCGGGCGCCCCCGTGCCGAGAGCACATACCTGCCACCGGCGGGCCGACCATACTGGCCGTGCCGCGGAACAGGATCAGAAGACCGAACGCGTTCGACAACTTGTCGATGCCGAGCAAGTCAACCAGCACCATGCATGTCAACGATATGTAGCCGGCTGAAACAGAGGTCTGTCAGAGTCCATACCGCGGCCGCCGCCGCCGCCGCGCCGCCCGCCAGAAGTTGTGCTGACTGACTGGTAACGGTGGCAAGCGGGCTGTGCGCGGGCGAGGGGCGAGGGGCGATGGGCGGGGTGTCGTCACCTGCCAGTGGCGTCCCCACCACTGCCGACAGGCCGCGGCTGACGCACACCAGGCCGAACGAATTCACCAGCTTGTTGAGGCCCAGCAGGTCGACCAGAATCACACACGTCAGCGAGATGAACGAGGCTGCAACAGCGCGCGCATACCCCCGGCTCGGCACTGGGTGTGACAGGGGCGGCGCGACATATAGTGCCGCGCGCGGTCCGTACACGCACTACTGAGTGCCGACACAGACACTGTGGCGACGGAAAACGGTACATGTTCATGCAGAGCAGTGGACGGCTTAACAAAACAAAAAGAAACTGCTTTGTTGCAATTAAATTCTGCCAGTAGCAGCTATACGACTATATAAACAGAACAGCAAAAAGTAGTTTAGAGGTTGATGCAAAGCGGTCTTAGGAATGTCATTGATATACAAATAAGCATCCAAGAATATAGGGTGACATAATTAACTGTAACTGAACATTAACGGAGCATTGACTAGGCATAGTCACATTAACGTCAAATGGAAACATTCCATGCATATTGTAGCCCTGGGGGCAAAATGGGGAGTGTCAAAAGAAAAAAACGAATAAATGCTCATGTCCAGGGCGAATCAATTGAGCGGCATGTCAATAAATTCCTGAATAATATTCGATTAGGGCAATATGATTGGGTGCAATGAATGCTAAAACACGTACAGAAAAGCAGAAAAAAATATAATTCGGGCATTGCCAACTGTGACTTGCAGCATCACTATGAACGTTTTCTAGATGTCAGAGGAAGACAGAACTGACGTGACGTTTCAGAAAAACGTGCATTAACAGCTATTTGCAAATAATAATAGCCTTAGTAATGAGTTGCACAGGGCATTACATGCCTTATGAAACCATTGATTTAGGCAGTTCTAAGTTGTCGGCCCGTATTAAGAACGATGCAAACTCAAATCATGGCGAACTGGTAACGGAATGGGTTCACCTCAGAGGGACGCCCTGCGGCGGGCAGCGTCCCCCGGCGACCCCAGCCGTGCGGCACTCACCGACAAAGAAGCCGAAGGCCACGCACACGGCCACAAACGAAGCGTAGCTGCTGCAGAACGGGATCAGGAAGACGCACACGCCGCTCAGCAGGATGCACAGGTTGTTGACGAACAGCGCGTCCACGCGCGGGAAGTCGGTGATGAAGCCGGAGAGCACGCGGCCCAGCGTGTTCGTGATACCGATCACCGAGAGCAGAAAGGCCGCCTTGTCCGGCTCCACGCCCTGGAGGACAGCGGACACAGTCAGTGAACGCCGCCCTGGACGGCGAACCGAGGTGGAATGCTGGGACAGGCTGGCCGGTCGAACGCTCAGCACTCAATAGTTACCTGGCTGAACGTTCATCATTCAATAGTTACCCGGTCGAACGTTAAACACTTAATAGTTACCCGGCTGAACGCTTAGCACTCGATACACAGTTACCCAGGTGAACGTTCAGCGCCCAGTAGTTACCCGGTCGAACGTTCAGCATTCACTAGTTACCCGGTTGAACGTGCATCACTCAGTAGTTACCCGGTCGAACGTTCAGCACCCAGTAGTTATCTCCCGGTTGAACGTTCAGCGCTCAGTAGTTACCCGGTCGAACGTTCAGCGCTCAGTAGTTACCCGGTTGACGGCGGTGTCGACGATGTAGACGAAGGGCACGTAGAAGCCCAGCATGCCGAACACGTTGCTGGCGCAGATGAGCATGAAGAGCGGGTTGCGCAGGATCTCCATGTCGACCATTTCGGCCAGTACGCCGCAGCCCGCCGGCAGCACGCACGCCCACGTGTCTGAAACACACAGACACACACACAAACGGGGAAATTACCGGCGCAAAAGGGGCGCTGACACAAGGAACCAGCAAGTACAAGCAAGTGGAACAAGCAAGTGCATTTACTGATATACATATGTACTCTCTGTAGTTTTTACTGATCTTTTGTTTATCAACCTATAGCTATATCATACCGCACACGTGTGCTCGTGGTTGGCCTGCATTAGCTCACTGGGGTCGTGCTGGTCCTCTGCGTAGCCCTCGTGCGGCAACGAGAGCACCGAGGCGCGGTAGGAGGCCAGGCTGCGCTGGCTCTGGTACTGCGCCAGGTGCGCGATGCTGCCGCTGTAGAAGATGTCGCGCCGGCTCATCGGGCGCAGCATCTCGCCGGGACGCGGCAGCGAGGTGCGCGAGCCGCTGGCCATGCTGACGCTGGTGTTGCTGCACAGCCAGAGGTCCTCCTGGCTGGTGGGACCCGTGCCGCGCCGGTTGTGGAACGACAGCCGGCGCAGGTCCGGGTTCAGGCTGTTGCCGGACGAGCTGAGTCGCAGGCCGGCGGCGCGCACGCCCGAGCCGCGCCGCTTGTGGTCGAACGCCGGCGTGGACACGTTTTTGGGCATGATGGCACCGTTCTGCGGCGGCGTCGCCTGTTGCTCGCCCTTGGGCACGCTGCCACGCCGCTTGGTGGCCCGCGCGCGGATCTCCTTCTTGCTGTTGCGCCGGCCCACCTCGCTGCGCTCCTCGCTGGGCAGCTCGGGCACCACGTCGTTCTTCTCCTCGTCACTGGCCTTCTCGGAGTCGTTGTCGCCCTCCCCTCCCTTCTTCGAGACTGAGCTGCCGGACGCCTTCGCCGGGTCATCGCTGTCTTTCTTCAGCTCTCCATTTCCGGTTTCACGTTCCTCTTCTTCCGTTTGGGGCTGTTCGCTCCCACCGTTTGCGCCCTCCTTCTTGGCGTCGCCGTTGCTGATTTCGTTCTGTGTGGTCAGCGTGGCGGCCTGGCCGGAGGCCGGGGAGGGCGGCGCCCGCTCGCTGGCGGCCACCGACCGGGCGTCCTCCGGGGAGCTAGAGCCGCCTGTGCGCGCCGCCTCCGTGATGGTGGGCAGCGCGCCCGACGGCGAGCCGTACTCGTTAAGCGCCAGCGACGAGTGCACGCCCGGGTCGGCGTTCAGCTTCCACTTGGGCCGGCGCTCCACCGAGCCGTCCGGCAGCTGCACGAAGAAGTAGTTGTCGGAGACGATGGAGCCGCGCTTCAGCTGCCGCTGCTTGTCCTCGGCCATCTTCTGTAGCAGCGGCTTCTGCTTGTCGCTGGGCTTCTTGTAGACCAGCGGTCGCATCAGCGCCCCGCACACCTGCGGGGCACACCAGACGGTCACAGATCTGGGCGCTTCAGTACAGAATGCAGATGCCTGTCCGGTGAGCTAATCGGGAAAAGGCGCACCTAATATAGAGTGTGGTTATAGGGGAGCCTGGGGTAAGTTGTCCCAGATAACTGATTTTGCTAAATAACTTGTGTCCTATGCATCGCCTGAATAGCCTGAAAGAGCGAATTTGTACTCAGTGCATTTTTTTGACATTTTACTTTAAATTCCATCGATCAAATGCATGCACTTGTGACTGGGTTCCAAGCTAGAAAGTGATTCCGAAAATATTTTGATTAGCAAAATGATCACTAGGTACACATTATAATTATGATGCACCGTATTCTAGTGAAAGAAACTGTTTATAGTGTGAGCAACTAACAAAATATGCTAAGCATTTATGATATCTACTTCTCAATGAACTACCCACTGAACTAGACAAAGCATGGGGATCACGGGACCTCGAGTCACGTTCAGCTGTGAGGTCCAGTACCAGCAGGCGAGTACCGAGCGCAGTTCGCGGCCCGTCCGGCGCCGTTCACTCACCACGGCGTTGAGGATGATGCCGGCCAGGATCATGTTGCCGCCCTTCCAGCCGTACTCGCGCAGCAGGAAAGCGGCGAACGGCGCGAACACGAACGTGCCGAAGCCGGAGCCGCACACGGCGATACCGGTGGCCAGCGCGCGCCGCGCCTCAAAGTAGTAGTTGACCGCCACGATGGCCGGCAGGTAAATCAGGCCGAAACCCAGCCCTGGAACGGACAGCCGACCGTCAGACAGCGCCAGTCCGGGCGAAATTCAGTCGGTGAAACACCGGAGATCACTTCGTCCGTCCGCTGCAGGAGCTGTAAATGGAGCTGAAATAATATTTTTACATTTTTTTAATTCCACTGAAAGCTGGAATGAATTTTCTTCACAGGTATCCCGAATAACTTTAATAGCGATGTGGACAGTTAAACTGACAAATAGACACTTGTTTAGTAGAACGAGAGCCGAACGTTCTTTCCGTGGCCGGTCAGGCGGGCCGAGAGCGCCGGGTCTGCGAGTCGATAAGGGTCATTTCACGCTTCTGTGTGGCTGACTTTGGTCCATGGTGACACTGAGCTGTGTGATTACGCCTTATTGTCGGCTGTGGGAGACGCATATTAATGTTTGGAAATATTGCTTCGCTAAATTTTGCTATTTTGGCGTTCAGCTTTCACTGGAACTCAAAAAATACATGTTTATATTTTCAAGAATGTCCGGGACAGTCCGTTGAATAAAAGATTATAAAGTTTTTACAAAAACGTAATTTTCAAAAAGGCCATCGATCGATTTTAATAAAAACTACATTTTTGGATTCAGCTCACCGTCAGCTTTCGAATGGTATATATCGTTTCTTTTGAGCCTGAGATGACCTTCCGACGAACCGTGGGTATTGGACGGCATCGGTCCGAAATACATAGGCTGCCACGTCTGGCCCGCATTGGCGGTCAATAAGACATTCATTTCATACTGAATAACATACTTATCGGTGATTTGGCTCAGGATTTAGATTGGATGTCTATTGTCTCGCCCATTAGTTTGTTGTTGTTTCTAAAATCGGTGAAGGTGTGACTGGGCCCGAACAGGACTGATTTATGCCACCAGCCGTCACGGTATCACCAGTGTCTCGGCGTGTTAATGTCAGCTGCAGGACTGGCCGCCAGAACTCATCAAAGGCTGCCAGCCAGCTGACGGCACTGACAGTGACGATCGATTCTGGCCGGCCGCTCCAGAACCGAGAGCACAGGTACTGCGGCACAGTCTGCTTTCAGGCGTCCTTTACTGCTGACACCTAGCGGCGAAGACGGAAACTATGGAGTCCCGGCCCTGCCGCCGGGCGCCGGCAGCCTCTCCGCCCGTGAGCCACTGCGGCTCCCGTCGGGACGGTGCGGCCCCCACTACCACCACTGTTACAGGCTACAGCAGTCAGTAACCGACCCCCCATCCCCACCATGCTGGGGGACGACAAAGGTGACTAACTGCCCAGTACCAGCCTCGTGACCGCACCGACCCGAGCCACTCGGCTCTACCGCATAGACCAGTGCCGCTCCCCGCCAGCCGACCAATACCTACCTATTGTATTGTATTGTATTGAACAATCATGAGCGATCCACATTCTGAAAGTGCGTGACGATTACTGCTCAGAATCCGTATCCGCAGTTACTATACTAATCTAAACATTCGCAGCATTCACACATTCACTCACGTCAAAGCACGGACAGACACACTTTCGTAGTACCACAGGTACAACTCACCCACCCACCAGCCCGTTGGTCAGCGACGATCAGTTGATGCCCCGTCCACTATCGCGGCTTTAACAGATCGGGCAAAGGGGGCGGGAGACAGCTGCGACAGCTGAGTTGGGAGACTGTTGAGTAGAGCTGCGGCTCGATAGCCGAACCGCCGCCTACCCGTTTCCAGCCGTGGTCGCGGAAGGTGAAAGAGGTGGTCTTGCCTGGAGTGTCTCTCCCGGACAGCGCTGTTTGTGACGAACATGGTTGCCAATTCCTCGGGTTCGCCGCGCTGAATGGCTTTGTGGGCGATAACAAGGGTTTGGTAATCAGCCATATGACGCGGGGACAACCACCCGAGCTTTTTTCGCAGGTCAGAGACATGGGCAAATTTACGGCGACCGAAAATGACTCTAGCAGTGAAGTTCAAAATTTTTTTGGAGACCTACCTTTGGTCACTTACTTAGGTACCCGACGCTCGATAAACGATCAACGTTCAGTGTTGAATAGTGAGCACGAAACTACTCATGAAATGCACCGTAAAGGCATTTTTTTAAGTTTGGTACCATGTTATGCGATGCTACTTATCCTGGATTTTCTAAAATCGTTAAATCGGTGTTATTTCCATATAGTCATTGTAGGTATTTTTCATGGAATTTCATATCAAAACAACCTTAGCAAGAGAGCCTCAGAGACTGGAATGTTTCCAGAGCAGCATGGCATCTCCCCAGCTAACAGGAAACGTTACTACAACGTTGTCACAACGTCGTGTTTCGGTAAGTTGCGAAATTACGTTTTAATTACGTTGTAGCAACGTTCTGAACGTTGTGAAGCCATGGTTTGGTCGGAAAGTCGTGGTAAAACGTCGTGACAACGTTTTATTGGTACGTTGCAGCAACCGCGCACTTGCAGCATTATATTTTGATAATGCATGGTGACATATATGGCCATATAATGCATTTCCTTTGACTTTCAATGCGCATATTCAGTTTTCATCGTTAAATTTGACATATTTTAACACTTGGACTGTTCACGTTGTCAGTTGGTGGTCGCCAACACGTTGTTAAAACGGTTTTTCACAACCTTGACATTATAGGTACTGAATAATTAGCGGTGTTTTTACAAGTAAATTCTGATACCTTTCTCTCTCTATCTCTCTCTCTAATATATATATATATATATATATATATATATATATATATATATATATATATATATATATATATATATATATATATATATATATATATAAAACATGTGTAAATTGCAAAGCGTCATTGGCATGTTTTGCAACATCACAGGCGGAGCTAGAGGCTTGCAACTATCCCTATGTAAACGCGGCTGTTATCCGCGGCTGCCAGCAAGCCACGCGGGCCGCCACTCAGGCGAACGGTGGCTCGCGCCCTGACCTCGCCTGAGGGGCCGTGACGTCAGTGTCACCGGCCGGCGTTCAGAGCCAGCCGGCCGAGCCGCAGTCAACGCGGCGCGAGCGAGCAGTGAGGGCCGGCGGCGGGCGCGGCTGAGATAGCTGGAAGATGAAAGATAGCGCCAGTTGTTTGCGTTTGATGCGATTGTTGTTTTGACTGGTAAGTCAAAGTACCATTTACGAGTAGCATTTGCAAGATTGTGCCTTGTAATATCGTGCGGTCTAGGCTATAGTTCATTGTAGCTCTAGCCTCTAAGGTGTTGACATGTTTCAGTTTGATCTAGCCTGTCGCACTGTTACGGAAAGTGGTGCAGGTATTTTTGTGATTTTTTCATGAATTGAATGTCTGATTTTCCCTCATGTCTTCCCGCAGACGTCCTGCAACTCGTCAGCGCGCCTTGCGGCAGGCCTACTGTCGGCAATGCGGTAGCGAAGTGGCTGTCCGGAAGCTGCGACCGGAACGGGGGGTGCGCAGACCGTCTAGTCAGGCACTGCCAGCTGCCTATAGGGACATCGAGGCCGCAAATGAGCCGGTGCCTAACGGTCCGCCGAGTGATCCTCCCAGCGAGGGTTAGTAAAGAAGTGAACTTCCACCAGTTCTGGCGTGCTAGCGGCTAGCGTCAGAGCCGGTAGAACCCAATTCCGTCCCACGCCCCCATGGGGGCGCCCCTGGGCCCCATGCCCCATCACCGATGCCGCCGCCGTCGTTTTGTTTGTTTGTTGTAAATTGACCTGTATGATGTATTGAAATATACACTTCTTACATGCCTTTTTTACAAGTCTAGAGAACGGGAAGAGAGCGTCGGAAACACATTCTGAGTATGTTGCGAACACGTTGAGAGGGCGTTGCGAAAATGTTTAGGACGTTTACTCAGGGTCGCAGGGACGACAATGCGAAGTAGCGACAACGTGGTGCGCACGTGATAAAAACGTCGCAGAGACGTTGCCAAAGCGTTCTATACTCCTTGTAGTCACGTTGCGGAAACGTGGTGGCAACGTTCCAGAAACACTGTTGGTACGTTACAGAAAACATTTCATAACGTTGGCGGGACGTTGTAAGAACAGTTTTGGGACGTCACGGCCACGTTACAGAAACGTTGTGATGACATTCAAATGCATGGTCGGATGACGTTGTCACGCCGTAGTCTGGAGTCTACAAAATTACGTTGTCACAACGATAAATCGGGACGTTGTGGTAACCATTTGACAACGTTTAAACGACGTTGTAACAACGGCAAATTGTTAGCTGGGTCAGCACATCCAGCACGGCGCGGCTGCTGCGCGAACACGTCGCCTGCCTTCCCGGGAGGGCTGACATTGGACCAACCCAGCCGGGCCGTCCGACTCGGCGCGGCAGGGCGCAGAGATGAGGGGGATGGACGGCAGCACGTGCCCGCCGCCGGCCGGCCGGCAGGTGCCCCCGGGCGCGCGGCGCGGCGCAGCTCGGGGCGGCTGGCGCGGCGCCCGCACTGCGCCGGTTATTGGCCACCACAGGCGAGTCGGGGTGACGCCGCCGTGAGGTCATCGGTGACGTCACAGAGGCGTCCGCCGGCGGCGGGCCGACTGGGGGCCGGCAGTCCTGTCGGCCCGTCCGCGGCCGGCCTCAATACTCTCCGCCGATGAACGGGATTCCTCCGTCAACGACAAATGACTTCCAACGACGCTTCATCTTAGCAAGACAACAATTTGCCCCTGAATAACTCGTGAGAACTTCCTTCTTTTAGTTTTGTAGTGTAGCCACCGCGCATCCTGTCAAATGTGCTTATGTGAATAGCAGCACATTTGACGGCAGACTTGAGTTACACCCGGGCGATCTTATTCCATTAGTCGCTCAGCGGTCGTGAGCGACTGTTCTGGTGATCCATGCAGTTGTTGAGTGGATATAAGCTATCAGCAGCTGGTGGGAGGTCATGCAGCTGGTGGCTAGTAAACCAGGCAGCGCACCCTCGGAGCGGAGGCGTCACTGAAGGTTCCCTGGAGACTGGGATATGCAGAGAGTGAGACAGGGTAGAGAGATGGAGGCGGCGCGTCCAAATCGATAACGAGCTCGGTGCTCTGCCCCGCTGCCTGC